GGCTTTTTGTCACGTGAAGGTGGTTTTATTTTAGAAGCAGGTTGTTTTCAGTTAGATGCTGAAACCAAAAAAGGCTGCTGCCGTAGCCAAACTGAAACTCAGGACATTTCCTCTCCGTTTCGATCTCATTAGCTCCCTTCAAATAAACAACAAGTTCTCTCCTTTTTCCAGAGAAATCTTGGCGATGTTTTCAATCATAGTGTTTGGGAGTCGCTCCAAATCACAGGAAGTTTGGGAAAACCAGGTCTTATTAACGTGATGTTTCCTGAACAGCTCAAGGAGACATAATAATAAAAAGATATTGAAGTGATGATGTTTTAAAGCCACATGGTTATGCACATAGACTGTATATAAAAGATGGACAGTGTCACCATGGCAACCACGATGAGACTGTACCTTTCTTAGTGTTTTGAAACCAGATGTCACAAGTCTGGAAACATGTCTCAAATGAGCAGTTTGAACTCCTGTGAGTCAGCCTTCTTCTGGTTGGTTGCCCCTCTCAACAGAAGTTGTGAACTACAGGTGGGTGGAGCTTCTGTGTCTGAAGTGGAATTTATAGGCCAGCATATATCCATCTGCATACATGTTTCGGTTCCGAGAGGGGGTTTCACACACCAGAGTTGCACTCCTGTGCAGTCCTTCAAGATCTTGACTGCGTGTTGCTAGAAACAGATGATGTATGCGTCTGCCGAATGCTGATTGGTTAACACGTAGTCCAGAATAGGGCGTAGAGCAACAGAAGTTCACCGAGAACGTGCAAAAAGCACAGACAGTAGCTTCAGTGGACACTTTTCATTGTTTTTAAAACACCAGTTTTCACTTCAGCTTCATTGTTTGCAGCACAAGCAAGAGTGAGCGGTTGTACAGACTTTGTACAGCGCCTCCATCTGGCAGCGGAGCCCTCTGCAGACAGACAGGCCTGATCCCAGACTGGAGTAGACGTGTTGATGATGATGTTTGCACTGCTCTGTTCTGATTAAAGAACCAACACATTTGTCTAGTTGAATGTGTCGTCATGCTCGCTGGAGCACTCGGTGCATCCCACTTCCTTCTCTTTGGGGTAAAGATTATTTCTGGTGTTCTGTGGGTGAGTATTACACACTGTTCTATGAAAAGTTTTTTTTTTTTTAGGTGAAAGAAAAATCAGAAGAAATGAATCAACATTTCTTAGAATCAAAATAGTTTTTCCAACATGTTAAGATTATAACGAGGCACGGAGGATGCTGCTTTGGAGACTCAGCTGCGGTACTGCTCTTATATTCACCCTTTGAGCCTTGCTCACATACTTGGAAAATGGCTTTGTAAGAATCACTCAGCCTTGATCATTTAACGTGTCACTCAAACACAGCAGTCTTGGTTACTAGAGGGAAGCAGATTTAATCTTAAATGATTTTAATTGTCATTGAGAGCATGCTCACCTCATTTAATGCTATATTACATGAAGAACACTTTTTTTTTCATAAAAAGATTGTAGTCTGTATAGACGTGTGTAAATTGTAGCTTCATGTTTTCTGCTGCTGTCATTTAATTACACGAAAGACAAAAATTGCATCATTAAATGTCATTATCCAAAATAAAACCACACAAATTTGAGACAAATAACAGCTTTACCTACAAAAACAGAAACCTAGGCCTGTGGGTTAAGCTAAATTTATGTCACAAAGTAAGTCTCAGCTCATGTTGGATATTTTAAGAATATTGACCTAAAATGAAACCAAGTTCTAAAATAGAAGGAAGACAAAATAAATTTGAACCAGTGTTTAGATTTAATTACTGGCACTTCATCGCTAATATAGAGCTACAAAGGCAGAAACAACAGAAAACGCCTAAACTTAATTTAAGTTTTCATTTTCACATGTTTGGTTTGAATAAAATGTGATTGATTTTTATTGTAGTCCATGAGTACATGAGTTAGCGTCATGGCCCCTGAAGAAAAAACAGCAGCTTGCGTGCGTATGTTTTGTGGTGAATGGTTTCAGTGTAATGTTGACACTAAACTCTGCTTTTAGTAACTCCGCAGGTTGTTTCTGCTCATTTCTAACCTCACCGTGAGTTTAAATTCATCTTCTCTCAGAAATATGTGAGCAGAGCAGCAGCGGCAAAGTGACAGGCCTGAACACAAATACGTTTTGTGCCCCAAAATAATTAATTTAGCAGCGCCATGCGAGTTCACATCACTATTCACTCGATCCAATTACATAGGATGTAATGCCCGATCAGGCCATGTGACTCAGCCACACACCGATTAAAAAGTAGCAGAAAAAAGGCCCTAAAAGGTGTGAACTGTACTCTGATATAAAGAGACAGGAAAACAATAGCAGGGTGACCATTTTAAATATTGGATTATGAAATATGCCGCACACAGATTAACCTAACATCAATAAAATTAAAGAAAATTTGCAGAAAGCTGCAGTTTCCTTGCAGCTCAGCAGCAACAGCTGCACAATGTCACCATGCTTCATCGTTTCGACTAAGAGTTGTAATGTGTACTTAAATGTATGAAGATAAATAACACATTTAGAGGACAACACCGTCCTGAAAGGATTGTTTGGATGTTTCTCTGACCAGTGAGCCTGAGAGCAGAGGACAGCATCAGTTTGATGTCAGGAACATTTCATCTTAATTAGCGAGTACCGCGCTGCACTGCAGACAAAGCAAAGGTGGAAATCTCTCAGCATTGATATTTCAGACACTCGTCTGCTGTTCCTCCACAGAGGGACGTTGGGTTTGACATGTTAAATAATGGAAAACAGTTTGAGCAGTTTAAGGTCAGCGCTCACGCGACATACATGACTTTCAGACTGACCACAGCATTAAAGCATTTATAGTCCGAGTTATTGTACGTCCTGCTGCTGTAAAATAAATTAGCCAGTCCTCTCAAATAAAATGCATTTCCTTCTTGTTTTATGTTATAAAATAAGGATGTAGTTTTAGTTTCACAGAGAAATAAGATGATAGTTGGACAATGTCAACAGTTTGTTTTAGCAAAAACAGGCTTCCTTGTTTGATTCAACAGTAAAATGGAAAATTAGTTACCTGATATTTAAATTTATAATTACACTGGATTTGTTTCTGGACATAAATTGTATGTGACTTTGAAGCTTCATCCAAGCAGCCATTTTGGAAAGACAACAGGATAAAGGACACTGTGCAGTGGGGTCGGGTTCATTCATGAACAGAACACAAAGTGGACCCAGAAGATACAGATGGAGGACAAGTTAAAATTTCTGAAAGCCACAAACGAGGGAATTTACTACAACCCCCCCCCAAAAAACAACGCCTTGATCCCCGAGTCTGACAAAAAGCCAAAGACTCACCAGCACGTATATCGACACCTTGACATCCACCTTTGTTGTAGCGTTCGTGTTGCATACCATCACATTACTGTGACAATGACCACGAGCATTAGGTGGCACTTGATTGCAATGGAAAACTGGTCAGTCCAGCTCGCCCTGGCGAGTTGATCCAAGTAGGTAGTGATGGAAAAGAGGCTATACAAAGTTGATGGAACAAACAGGGAAAACAGACAATGATGGAGACACAACTCTGGGAGACCAGACAGACATGGGGACGTGACTGGGGAGAGAGAAAGGGTAACGACACAGAAACAGGAGTGACTTCCACAGGAGACGCTGATGATTGAATTTTTATGCAAACTGGCCACCTGCATATAAATCTAGTTCCTGCAGCTTTTTCAGGAGCACGAGTGGATATTCTGTCAGTGTCTATCTGGCACATGATGATTTGGACCATCTACAGCTTTGCTGGTAAATTACCATAAGTGTGTCTGTTTGTATGATCATGGTAAAACATCAACCTGGAAACGCCTACAGAAGTGAGTCTCGTCTCTTTGTCATGTTCCGATAGCTCACAGTTGCTGTGGCTTTTGTGATCCAGTGGAAATTATTTTTAGTATTTTCTTGGCCTGAGTTTGACCTCTGAGGCTGAACATACACTTAATAACATACTAAAATTAAAAAGAGACATTATTTTTGTTTTCACTCACTGTTCGGGTAAGGTACCAGTGTGACTCGGTTCAGATTAGAAAAAGGCCTTATTTTGGGTTCAGATAAGCATGTTCACAGTCTTAACCCTTTGCATTTTAAATGGCATGCCGAAGAGTATCATGTAATTGAAAGTGACACAGAGGAGTTTGACGTATGATGGACCGAGTCATAACCTTTCTGACAATGAAGAGGACTATTGGACCTGTGTGAGGTTTGTAAAGAATTGGTCTGGACCGCAGGTGTTTATTCTAAAAATAAACTTTGAAGAGAAATGGACCGAGATTGGACCCCTGAGGAACACCCGTGCAACCTGTCAAAATCTGGTTTGAGGTCATTGAGACTTAACTGAAGTGAAAGCAGGAATCTTTGTGTTGAATGAAGACAGGTAGGATTAACAGAGCAGGTTTTTGAATAGGCGGAGGAAAAGCTGGAGCTCTTAGAGAATTCAGGACCCTCTTAATGTCTTAATGTTAATGCTTAATACTAAAAACAGGGTATAGTGCTGATGGGGGTTCATGAAAATAAGAATATCTCCAGTCTGAAAACAACCTAACATGGTGTGCATGTTAGACTCGACCTATTTAGCTTTGCATGTTTTACACACACCAGCCTCACGTGACTGAGTTTATCTGATTATTGGCTGCAGCTCATTTAATTAGATGGGTCAGAGTTGAAACTAGGGGCAGGTTTTTCCAGGAAAGCACATAAAAGAAGTCATTGACAGAGATGAAAAGCAGCGAAAGGTCCACAACATACAGAAGTTTGTGCATTGCGTATAAATGTGGCGTATAGGAGAAAACCTAACCTCAAGCACGACCTCAGAGTTACTCAAGCTGTTCTCAATCGTTATCTGAACTTCACAGTGCGTTATTACTGCACTTTTATTTCTATAAATACTTTTCTGACAAATAAGACGTTGGACTAGATTGTCGAGGATGTGAAAGCTCTCAAGCCGGCTTTCCCATAAACTGAGGAATGAAAACAAACACTCACACTGTACTCCTGATCCACAGTCCTGGAATCGACTGTCTTCAGTCTGGACAGCAGCGAGGGCAGCAGCTCCATGTCGAGTCAAGTAACATCCAACACCTGAGCCGAGCTCGTGCGCCTCACTGACTCTCCTCTCCTGGCTGCAGGCTGATCAGCCAAAACTGAAATTGAAATAAGCCTCTCTCTCTCTCTCTCTCTCTCTCTCTCTACCTCTTAGTTGTCTCTTTCCCTCTCTGTGTCTCAGTTCTGCCTCTGTCTGTCAGTTAATAATTTAACACCAGCTAATTGAGCCTCTCTCTCTCTTGCTCTCTCTCTCTCCCTGTCTGAAGAACAAGGAAGTATGTGGACAGTTTGAAGGAAATACAAAAACTTTATGACTGGTTACTTCACTGAATTTTAAAGCGTGTGTTACAGAAATATATTTCCTTCCTGAAGCACACAGCTAGTGAGTAATCTGGTACAGGCTGCATACCCATGTATGCAATCAGGCAACCTGTTTCACCTGTGTGTTCACCAGACAGCGTGCAGAGATAGATAATCTTGATAGAGAAGTGTTGACAGACGTGGAATTTAAAACAACTGCCTTGTCTGAAGCTGAAAGATATAGGCACGTGTTTAAAAACACTGAACTGTGATGGACACGTGATTAATTCTGCTTTTTGCCGACCAGGCGTGGAAAGGTTACTAGATAGAGATCTTATGTAGTTCAAAAGTTGAATAACCACTCTCACATAAATTGGAGGCAATCTTATCTAGCTCTTTTCTGTTCTACCTGAACACACCTCATTCACACACACACTCATATAAGCATTTTTCTTTTCCTGTCCTTAAGTGCTTTCTATCTAACAAGGATATTTGGCATGCCAGGGCTCAAACCACCAACCTTATGGCCTGCGCTACCTCCTGAGCTACAGCCCCTAAAAACACTAGAGGCAAAAACCATCAAATACACTCAGACACCTTGCAAGAAACAGGTTTGACTCCCTTTTACCTTCTTCAGTGAGTGCTGGAAACACTCCTCAACAATTTTTGTCCATATTAACATAATTAAATATGGATACATTAAAAGCCACATACACAACTAATTCCCATTACTCTGGATGTGATATTTTCTTTATTCATTTATTAATTCAGTAATGAAATGACCCTGGCTCACCATTGCACATCTATTACAGCTGTCCAGAACCTAAAATGACACCTCAACAGTGCTTGTTTTGCTCAGTATTCAAACAACAGCCTTAAGGAAACCCAGAGTTAATCTATAATGAAGAACCTCAGAAAGAAAAGGACAGCACGTCCTCACATGTGAGAAGCTGGGAGCGAAAGGTTTTTAAATTTATTTACTGGAATTATTTTGTAAAAGCATCACTCATTTGGCCTTTGAATGTTAAACAAAAGTTCGTATTTCGTTATCTTTCATGACATTTATATGGACATATCGCCATATATTTAAATCTGACCTCTTAATATTCGCAGGTCTTGAGTAAATGTGATTTGAGTGATCGAGGTTTCTCTTAGGTTCTCGGAAACAGCATCAGAGTGAGCGCTCTGTCATGGCGGCTACTCTGTCAGCTGCTCGGTTCTCAGAAACTGCGTCAGAGTGAAACCTCCATCCTGTCTCTTCCTCTGTGTCAGCTGCTGCGTCTCCTCCTCCGCTAGCTTAGCCTGCTAGCTCGCAGCAGCAGGGAAGGTAAACATGGCTATGTCGCAGGCTCTGTCCGAGGAGGAGTTCCATCGGATGCAGGTGAGAAAAACTACGGCGATTGTTCTTTTGGTGTGTAGGTGTCAGTGTGGTGAAAAACACCTGTGCGGTGCAGCATCACTGCCAGGGGCGTTTGCCCAGTCTGTTAATCGTGAGCCGTTGCTAGGTGGGAGCGGTTAGAACGGCTAGCTCGGCTGACATTATTCATTTAACGTTGGCAGGAAGGTAACGGGCAGCCAGAGCTTTGACATGCCTCCGGGCGATATACTTAAGAAGGGGAGGAAGCAGACACAATGAGAGAGAGCTCAGTTCAACACTTAGCCTAGCTTACACCCCCCCTGTAAAGAAAAGCACAGCGTAGCTAACCGTTATTTCTATCTGACAGCGGGCTAACATGTTAGCATTCACGGGACTCTCGCCCTGCTGAGAGTCACGGGGTCCTAGGCAAGCTGCCGTGGGCTCCTCTGTATCGGAGACAGGGCCGGGAAGCGCAAACACCTGTTAACATACTAACCACTGACCTCCCCGACTACTTTAATAGGACTGTTGTTCTCTGTTGTTGCACGAAGTGTAAGAACAGGAATCTTGACTGTCTTCACACATGGTAAACAGCAGTAGGGAAGAGTTCAAATATATTTACCACAAAAAAGCCGTTAATACAGCTGTTATACTGTAGTAAACGCATTTTTTAATTTCTTTAAATGCAGCTGTAAGGCCCCTCTGGGGCAGTAAGGTGGGTCCCCTCAGAACGTCATGCTGTTTATGAAATATTTAGGAAGAAAGATCTTTCTAAAAGATGGAGGTAGCCACTGGTGTCAGCAGCTGGTTTTGGACTTTTATAACTGTCATTGTTGTGTTTTTTGGTGTCAGCAGGAGTGTATTTAGGCAAGTGAATAGAGTGCTCTATAATGAGCATAAACAGCATTTTGGGTGGGTGTAGCTGCCATGATGTCACCCGTTGGTTTGCGAAGTCCTGCTACAAAGCTTCAAGATCAGGGTGTTTAATGTCGCCCTCTTGAAACTGGATATCTGGGATGGATCCGACTATGAATCCACTTGTGTTAAGTGCTTCAGTTGAAGGCAGCTGGACTTCTTGGTTCATGAAGACATTTCATCTCTCATCTCAGGGGCATCTTCAGCTCTGAAACCTGATAGGGGGTCCCAGGTATTTAACTCTTTGGGGAGGGGTGGGACCACCTGTGCATCACCAGCGGTTATTTTGCCTCTTGCTGACATTCATTGATCTCTGGTCACCATGCTGCTGCTTGTTACAGTAATCAGTTTATTTACATGTTAGATTTGTTTTTAAAAAGATGAATAAGCTCATCTTCAGTTGACCTACTGGCCAATCAAAAACACAACATGATTCATGCAGTTTCTAAGTAAAGCCGGTCATAAATTAATACTGGTGTGTGTGTGTGTGTGTGTGTGTGTGTGTGTGTGTGTGTGTGTGTGTGTGTATCCTTGTGCAGGCCCAGCTGTTGGAGCTGCGGACGCAGAACTACCAGCTGTCTGATGATCTCAGGAAGAACACGGCAGGTAAAACCTTTCACTCTTTGTCCTTCTTGTTCCTGCTGTTTCATCTCATCAACACTTGAAATGACCACAAGCACACGAGAGGCTCTTTAAAGCAACAGATTTTTTAAAAACACTGATTAGAAGACCCACAGCATAAAACCAGTTTTCCTGCTCCACCTGAGCAGTTTTTGTCCAGGTGAAAGTTTTATTAAATTTCTTTTTCGAGAGCGACCTTGCCAACGGGGCAGCAGACATTATAAGAGACATTAGAGGACAAGTGCAAATGCTTCAGCTAACGAACATGAAATCATTCATCGGATAAATATTTGATTGGCCCATGTTAGCAGTAAAACTTTAATGAAGAGGAAACGTGTGTTTTCTATAATTAAATGTCGTCCTGGTGCATTTCAGAGCTGAATGCCGTCCGTCAGAAGAATGTGGTTTTGGAAAGAGATTTTGTCAAAACACAGAAGGTAACGAACACTTTATTACTATGTAGTTGTTTTTGTAGATGAGTAATTGGAAAAAAATAACCTGCTGACCTGAATTTGGGGGTTTATTTTCTAACAAAGCTGAGCGAAGAGTTTTCCTCATCTCTTCATGTTGTTGATTTACATTAAATGTTTTTCCGCTTTTCTTCTTTTCAGGCCTTGACTAAGAGTAAGAAAGCTCAGGTAAGCTGTTGTTTGATGATAATTGTTACCTCAGTGAATTTCTAGAGTAAACATTTTTCAATTATGTCCTTTTAATTGTTCCTTATTTTGTCATTGTTAATGCTTTATGGCTTCCTTATTATGCTAACACAATCACCAATAATCTGCTTATTGGAGGTTATTTCTGTAACTGAGACAAACCGCAGTGCAAACATCGCGTCTTCTTGTACCGTCACATCCCAGGAGCTGTTTAAGCTCTGCTTCTCTGGTGAAACCTGTAATGTTTAAAGGTCATTCAGGCAATAGGTGAACTGGAAGTGCATCAGAAAAATAAGAGTTTAGTTTTTGGCCGTGTGTCATTTCTCTGTTCTGAAGAAAACCTGAAGTACGACTGAACTGTGGTTTTAAAGTTTGTGTTTATTCTCACCTGGTGCTGACGTCTTCTCTATTTTTGGCACTGTAGTGTTTTCACCGAAAATGTTAATTCACTCTGACTGCAACATGTTCCACTAGCTTTCTGTCGCATTGTTTGGCACAGACACCCAATCACCCGCCACTGTTTGGATGGTTTAGTTGCAAAGAAATGACAGAGATATAACAATATGTCAAAATACTACATCATGAAAGTTTGGTCAGTCTGTCTGTGTGAGTGATCTCAGTTGGAGTTTCTGTAACCTGCAGTCAGCTTTTTATTCTGAATGTATTATTTTGTGTGTTATTTCTCTGTGTGTAGGAGGTGGATGCTTTGCTGAGTGAGAATGAGATGCTTCAGGGGAAACTCCACAGTCAGGAGGAAGATTTCAGACTACAGAACAGCACACTGATGGCTGAACTCTCCAAGGTGAGCCTGAGTGTTTGTGTGTAGTTCAGGCACTGTAGAAGCTTCATATCATTATTGTGATCTTAACATTATAACATTTATTTTTCCAGCTGTGTACACAGATCGAGCAGCTGGAGCAGGAGAATCAGTGCCTGAAGAAGGAAGGAGGAGCAGCCTCTGCATCCAGCCCCCCACCTAACCCTGCATCCAGCCCCGTGGATGGAGAACTGCTCCGCCTCCAAGCAGAAAACTCCACCCTCCAGAAGAAAATGAAGGGTGAGGTGACATTTAAAAGGTGTAGATCTATCAGTTTTAGAGGCTCATATTTTAATATTTTTTTCACATAAAAATCGTCCTGAAGGTGTGTAGAGCCAAAGACAAGTAAAGGAAAAATATCACGATCTGATAGTTTATCTTCAGGTGTCGAGCTGATATTCGCCCACCTGTGTTCTCTCTCTCTCTTCCTGCATCAGCAGCAGTGTATTTAAAGACTTTGACACGCAGTAAGCAGTGTTGGGGGTGGATAGAGCTCCTTTAACTCCCCACAGCGTCGTATTCTGTGCAGTTCAGGAGACAGACAGAGGCTACTGTTGTTTTTCGGCATATAAGTATTAATTTTCACAGGTTTAGAATTCATCATTTAAAAAAATGTAATCATAAACCTTCCTGACACATTACAATATAAACTCAACTCTTCGTCCACAGAAGGCCTTTATCATTAAACATTTGCT